AATGGTAACAACTACATTCCTATCAATAAGTACCTCAAATGGAAAAGAATTAAGTGCTCCAACTAAAAGAATGGATGAATGGAAAGGAAAGCAAGACCCCTACATGTTGCCTATAAGAGACTTGCTTCAGATTAAAAGACACACAGACTAAAAAGAAGGGGATGAAAAAAGATATTGCTTTGATGGACCTAGGAGGTATTTAAGTCAGACAGAGAATGATAAACACTATATGATTTCACTTAAAAGCAGAATCTAAGGAATAAAAAGAAAAAACTAATCAAAAACAGACTCACAAATATAGTGGACAATTTGGTGATGGACAGAGGGGAGGGAAGTTTGGGGGGCTGGGAGAAAGGGGTGAAGGGTTAAAGAAGTACAAATTAGTAGTGGATGGATGGTCACGGGGATGGGGAGCACAGCATAGGGAATGTAGTTAGCATTAATACATTGGCTAAGTGCAGGGGTCAGGGGAGGGAGGGAGCAATTGGGGGGATCATTTTACAAACTATATAGATGTCTAACCAATGTACTATATACTTGAAACTAATTAAAATAAATAAATTTTTAAAAAAGGTAGATTATATAAAAAAATATGGGTAATATAAGCAGAGAAACTGAAATTCTAGGAAAGAATATAAAAAGAATGCTAGAAAAACCTGCAAAAAAAAAAAATGAATAATGCCTTCAATAAGTTTAACAGTAAACATAAAGTGGCTGAAGAAAGAATCGGTGAGTTTGAAGGTATCTCAATAGAAGTTTCCCAAATAAGAATGCAAAGGGAAAAAATTAAAAATGCAGAACAGATAAAATTGAAGAAAACAGAAAAGCAATAGACAATTAAAAAAATTCAAAAGCTGTTTCTTTGAGAAAAATCATCAATAAAATTGATAAAAGTCTAGCCAGGCTAATGAAGAAAACATGGAGAAGATACAAGCTACCAGTACAAAAATGAAAAAATGGCATCACTACTTATCGCATAGACATTAAAAGGGTAATAACAATACTAAGATTATTTCTATACCCACAAATATGATATCTTACATGAAATGGACCAATTACTCCAAAAGTACAAATTACAAAAATTCACTCAAGACTCTCACCTTGATTAAACTTTAGTTAGGCTCCTCTGAACCTTTTTATTGACTAGGGCTTGAACTTAGCATTCCATATCCATCTCATCCTTGACAGGCTTGAATAGCTGTTTTAGCAAGAATTCTCCAAAAGCAGTTTAGAGAGGATCCTCATCCTTGACCTTCATCCCTCACTTTTGACATCTAAGTCCTTGGCCTGCCTTTAACAAGAATCCTATTAGGGCAGTTTAGCAAGAATCTCCCTACACTTGAAGTCTCCTTGTAGTAGTTTGCCATCCACTTACTTATTCTCTTACTCTCTCTCTGCTCATTAGCCTATACATCTCCAGCTTTCTTTGCTGTATCTGGAGTTGAGACTGATCTCTTCCCCTTATTGCAATAATCTTTAATAAACTCTTACTTATCATTTTAACAAATGCTAGAATGATTTTTTTCTTCAATAAATGCTAGTGGGAGCATATACTAGCACAGCCCTTTTGAAAATTTGTTGTTAACATCTATCAAATTTTGCACATCTATTTTAACTGAACAATTCTAATTTTGGCATTAGTATCACAGAAATAACACAAATATATAAAGAAGTATGGACACAAATATTCACTGCACATTATAATAAAAACTGGAAACAAAATAAACATCCGTCACAAGAAAAGAGCCACCCTTGAACGCATCTGTGTCTTTCCACAATGCCAGGTTTATCGAGTGGAACCTTCTCAGATAAACCAATCAAGTACCCATGCAGGTTAACAACACATAGAGAGAGGAAGTAGTCTTACACACAGAGCAAAGGGATGAAAGTCCTTAGCATCTCCCAAGTGAGCCCTGTTGACTGGAAGAGCAGATGGTTTCCTGTAGGTCCCAAGCCAGCGTCTACAGCAGGCAAAAGATCAGCATCTTCAGCTCTCAACATACCTGTTCGTGATGCTCTTGAGTCAGGCTTGAGTACCATCTGTCTGAGGTGTTCAACTTATATGGTCATTGTAGGTTGGAATCCTTATGCTTTCGACTCCTGCAGTGGAGGCTAATCCAGTGCAGTCGTTGCTGTGGTTTCTGTGGTTTGGGGCAGTCCTGGCACATCCTAGGGGCGTTCCCATTATGTACCAGTTGATGTTACTGTCATGATTCCCATGGAATCCATTTTGTAAAGACCTCAAAGTTCTCAGTTCTTTACGCTCTATAAAACATCCATCTAAAAGGTATTAAGTAAATAATATACCCCTCCAATACAACATCATACGGCCAAGAAAAATCATGATGTAATTCTAAATATTCTGACCTGATACTATGATTATACTGTATTAAGGGTCAAAACAATTTGTAAATAAGTAGAAAGAGCTCTTTTTAAAAAATGTATTTGTGTAGTGGTCTGCACTGAATAAAGTCAAGGCCAACCACCTGCAAATACTAGTTACATTTGGTAAGTTGCTACAATTATCTCACCAAGCACTACTCTTTAAGCGGCTTAAATTGACCCTGTGTTTACTTTGAAACAACCGACTTCTCACCATCCCAAGGCGCGGAGATCGCCGGGAAACGTAGTCGTTTTAACTCGCGCAGTGCTCTAGGTCTGTATGGGCTCTCTCTGCGCATGTGTAACTCAAGCTCCGGCTCCTCCGTCCGCCCTCCCTGGGGAGATGCGCCCCAAGCGTCTGGGTCTACGCGAATGCGGTGGCTGCGCTGGGCGCCCGGGACCTTGAGCCCGACAGGAGCGTTTCTCAGAGTGGTGTCCTTGTGCCGGGGGCAGGAAGGGCAGTTCTCGGGAAACAGCCCGGCTTAGGCGGGGCCCATAGGGCCCGCCTCTGGCCGGTTTCGATCTCGGCTAGTGAAGGCCGGAGGGATGATCTCCGCGCTGGCATCGCGGTCTCGGGGGCCAGGCGCTCGGAGCGTGTGGGAATTGGTGCGCCGAGCCCCGCCTGCAGCCGGACTCGGGTAAAGCCCTCGCCGGCCGCGGGAGGGGAAAGCGCATTCGTTGACAGCGAGTGTGCCAGAAAGCGCGGGTGATAGGTCTGCGGTGGAGCCCGAGCTCTGGAGGTGGAAAAGCCCAGTAAATTTCATCGTCACCTGCTACCCAGACCGGGAGAAATAACCTGGGTGCGAGTCAGGGCCCCGCGTCTGAAAATGAAGATGTAATGTCCACTTAAAGGCGTTGATCCGAGAGTTGGATACATCATTTGTAAAGGAGTTAGCACTGTGCCAGATACTAACCATGGAGTGTTAACTGCTATTGTATTTAGAAGGCAGTTTGTCCTTTTCATTGGGTTATTTACCTAAGCATCACATCATTCTGTGAGCTTGGTATTGAGAGAGGAGAGGAGGCATCTGAAAAAATACAAAGGAGAGGGCCTGCGGAAGTAAATGATTCAACCCGGTAAAACTGCTCAATCCCCACATGCTGCTCAGTGTTCTTCAGCTAACATGTTTTCTCATGGCTTCCTCCCCAACCTCAAGGACTCTCCAGCTCACATCTGTTGATTCATAGCTTGCTATCAACTAATGTTCTTATCTCTGTAGCTGTGTAGGAATAACAAGACTGTGTAAAACTGCTTGTTATGTTACAATTAGAGCTCAGCCTTTGGATAGGAGTCCCCTGAGCAGGTCAGGTCTCTGTTCAAGAATCCTATAATGGTGCTGATAACACCAAGGTCATGGGTTCTACTAAACAAATGATCTGTAAGACCAGTGGTGTGGAAATTCCTCCTCCCAAGCATTCCCCTACCCGAAGCTCCCCCGCCCAGCCTGAGTCATGAAACATACGTGAAACTTCAGAGAAAAAGAATCATGTGCCCCTTGCATGGACACTGCAAGGGTATATAAACTGTAAGAAATCTAACCAAGGAGAGATTGTGCTTTGGATCGGCTGCCGGCATTAAATTCTCCTTCCTCTAACAGAGTTGTCTGAGCATCTAATTTCCTCTGTCGGGTGTCACTTCCTGCAACAGATTTCTGGTGCATTGGCTGGGAAGCGAGGAAGAATGGCACCCCATTTGGTGGACTTTGGGTACCCCACTGGGGGGACCCCAACCCGCCTTGTAGATGCGCCCACTGAGTGTGCACTGGGGATTATCCCATATGGAAGCCTCGTAGCATGGAAGGGGAAGCCCCAGCTGCGGGTCCCTGCAAGGATCAGACAGTGGAGGAACAAGAAAACTAGGATGCGTCAGGGCCACGGTAAGGAAAAACTGGGCATGGGGTAACTAGCTTAGGTCCTGCCCCATTGGGTAGAAGGGGAGCCTGATCATTTGTTAGGGGAAACCATGATCTCACAGGGCAGAGAGTGGACTGTGTTAGGTTAACACTGGGCAAAAGGAAAGCCCAATCCCCCTCCGGAGAGTAATCAAGCGTACTCCACAGGTTAAAAGGAGCGACTGCTTACTCTGCACAGGTCAGGGTCTTCCCGGGGAGGGGCGGGGGGAGGGAAGGGGGAGACAAAGGTCAGGGCCTTCCAAAAAGGGGGGGGGAAGCAATGTTTTAACCTGGCATGTAAATGAATAAATGAATGAGTGGCCTGGCCAGCTTGACTTGGTCAAGGTACAAATTTGTAGCTCCATGGCTGGACACCCTTAAGGTCCCCTACAGGCCATGAAGTTTGGGTGGGCTCATCTGAGGCTCTGTGATGTATGGCATATGGTCTATGGCAGCATTGGACTAGTGTCCGATCATAGGTCATAAAGCCCAGTCTGCTACAGCCAAGCATCACCTAAGCTCCTTTGGGACACAGCCAGGTGAGCACCTGAGTGGTCTCCTCTTGTTTTTCTTTGTGTCACCAACACAGGGTGAGATACATGAGGGGGTGGGGCAATTAATTACTAATTGGGCTTAAGAATTATCTATTTCTAAATGGACTTTTTGACATAGGGGCCCTCTGTTGAATTATTTTCTTGAAATTTTAAGGTCTATTTTTCCCTCCATTAGGAAGCTCCCTAAGGTAAATATGGGGAGAGGTTCCTCTAAGCCAACTGTCTTAAATTGTATGTTAAAAAATTTTAAGAACGTCTTCTCAGAAGATTACGGGGTTAGTTGACCCCAGGAAAACTACAGGCTCAAATTACCTTTGACACACTTGGCCAAACCCCTCTATGAAGCCACAAAGTGGGGAGAACGGGAGCCCCTACTCTAGGAATCTACACAACAAAAGGCCTTTGAAAGAAGAGGAGAAAAAAAAAAATCAAACGGGCACTCACTAACGCCCCCGGACTAGAAATCCTAGACCCGTGCTGCTGTCTCCCATTCCCCTTCTGCCGTTCCAGGTGGCACCAGCACTACACCACAGGGTGCACACACAATCCTCTCCAGGTGAGTTACATACTTTCAGATTCAGACACAGCTAGGATTGTGTTCCATGGTATCTTAGGAGTTAAAGTTCAGTGCTTTTGTCCAGGTAGCCCAGGTTCAACTCACGGTGAGGGAAAAAAATATTTTTCCTCCTCCCTCACCAGTGGCACAAACACTTCTCAGCTTGTGCCCTGAAGGGAAGGTAAAAACCACAGCCCCACAGCCTGGCTGTGTGTGAAATACACCAGCAGCAATTTCTCGCAGCTAGGAAGGGGACCCTCTTCCTTCCAAACTAACAATGGGAAGGGGGTCAAAAAGTTTAGCCTGTAAACGGTTCACTAAACTATAATATTATCTTCCAATTAGATCTTTTTTTCCAAGAAGCTGGAAAATAGGAGGAAGTCTCCTACATACAAGCTTCTATGCTCCTTTATCAAGACCCAGACTTATTAGATGGCCCAATGATAAGAGCACCTTCCCGGAGATCTCAAAATCATCAGGAGTTTTCTCCTCTCCCTTCACCCTGAGACTCTGAAGGGGTCCAAGTTCTCTAGGGATCCCATTTATTTCATCACTCCCTGAGGAAACTAGATATGCACCCCCAGGAAAGTTACAAATACTGATGATGGGGAAATATGAGTATGCGCTCATATTTAAGTATAGACCTCTGATCTATATTTTTCTGTGTTACACTTAATATAATGGTTGAATTAAAAATTCTAATTATGATGGAAAGGAAAATGTTTTTTGGTAACAGAAGGAATAAAGTATAAAAATTTATTTTGAAGGAAATTAAAGAAAAGGTGTTTGTCTTAAAATTGGTTATTTCTGAATGAGAAAAGTAGTAGAAGTTTTGTAAAGAGAAATACTGAGAAAATTTTATATGATTGAGCTAAATGAGATTGGAAATTTAAATGACAAAAGTAAGCTAAGGCAAAATTAAAGTTGTCTTTTAATGTTTCTTAGACTATTAGTCTGCTACTGATGTTATAGAAAAGTTTTCTAAGTAGAAAACAAGGATTTCATGCTTAATCAAAGTAATTTCTGTGTTTTATGTTAACTCAACCAGTTTTCTGAGGCTTTTAGAGAATATGCTAACATTAGCCCAAAGTCTGAAGGCCAGACACTCCTAGATATACATTTCATAACTTAGTCTGTGCCTAATATTCAAAGAACGCTCCAAAAGTTGGGGCCAAGACCCCAATCCCGCAGGCTGCCTTGGTGCCAGAGGTCTTTAAGGTGTCCAATAACTGAAACTGGGCAGAGAAGGAAGCAGAGTACAAAAAGGGTGCCAATTTTAGCTGCCTTGATACAGGGACCATCTCGAGGTGACCCTAGACAATAAAAACCTTGCAGGCCTGGAGGGCCTCGATCTTGGTTGGCCATGAGTGGCACTGTCGGGACTGAGGCATAATCAATGTGCAAACTGCAGAAGGAAGGGCACTGAAAGGGCAAATGTTCATCCAGCCCTAGGAAGTGGGGGAGGGGTAGACCTCATAAGCCCTCGCCCCACATAGCAAGCCTCTCACGAAGGGGCTGCTCTCTCCTCCAGCAACGGAGGCCCAAGCTCTTGCAAGCTCCAGTCCTAGAAAAACCCACCATGATCATAATAGTGGAACCTCAGGTCACCCTTGACATGGCAAGAAGGAAAAACTGAATTTTTATTGAATACTAAAGCTATTTACTCTGTCCTGACCCATCCCATGGGCCTCCCTCCAATGCTAACTGCGCAGTGACAGGAATAAAAAGTCAGCCCTCAAGGCAAACAGAAAGGGCCCTACCAAGTTTTGTTAAATTCCCAACTGCTGTCAAATTACAAGGAATCAACAGCTGGGTACATTTATCTCAAATTAAATCAGTTTTTTTTATGAGTCCTCACAGGTTCCTCTAGAAAATAAACCGGAAAATGCAACCTAATCCTGTGAACCCGTGGAAGATCTTAAGTTCTTGTTCTGGGAACTAGATAAGTCCACACGACTAGGTAAGTCCACAGGACTAGATAAGTCCATATGTCCCAGGTGTAAAAGTGGAAATTCTCCAGTTTCAGGGAAGAGGTTATCTCCAGGCGCCATCTCCTAGGGAGAGCAGTAACTCAATCCGGCCCCCGGGAAAGCTCTGACAGCCACTAGTATGCAGATAACGAAACTGCCTGCTAGGCCCTTTTTGATCTAACAGTTCCGCAGAAACATTTGTCTTTGTGTAAATTTACAGCCAACATCTGCTTTCTGTAATCTTGCTTGCTTGCTTGTTCAGAAGACCACCAGGATATGGTCTTAAGCTTTATAAGCTGCCTCCTCTGGAAGCTCGGGGCTGATCTCCTCTGACCCTGCGTGGTAGAGTCAGTCACCGGCTGGCTAATAAAGGCTCATAATTAATCTCAGTTGGCTCCGTGGGTCTCAGAATCATTCGTGCCACAACACAGGGAATCAGGGAACTTTTGTAAATAATTATTCTTTTAGCCCAGTATGTATGCCATGACTCTTCAAAATGATTCAATTTCCTTTCACTAGATATCTTTACCTTGAATTAACAAACTGCCATGAAAAAGTAACTTCATTATCAATTACCTCTACTATTAATTTTGACTTGTCTTTTCTATATTTTTGCTAAGTTTATATCTTCTAGGTTGCAAAGCTTCCTACCACTTCTACGTGCTGGAATGACTTCACGTTGTCAGACTCTTCTGAGCCCCTCAAGGCAACCCTCTGGAAGGAAACACTGACTGCGCAGACAGATCAAGGGTAAGACCTCAGCCCTGCTTTGGTCACACCAGAAGCTGACCAATCTATGCATGGTAGAAGCCTGAGGACAATGTCTCATCAGGATGGGACCCTAGTAACCTCTTTGGAGGCTGGGTCTCCACTTTTGGTGGCTTTAAGACCTTAGTTGGGATAGTACTCCTCCTCCTCAGAACCTACCCCCTCCTCCCATGCCTACTGCTCTTGTGATCTGGTCAACCACCTCCCTCATAGAGGCTATAGTAGAATGAAAAACTGCAGCAAAACTCCTCATGCTATGGAGGTACCAGCCTCTAAACCAAAAGTTAGAAGGATAAGATGCTCTCTGACCCAGTCCTGGGTCATCATAGAGCATCAAAGGGGGGCATGTGGCAGCCTGACCCTGCCTGACCATTTCCTGCTCAAATGAGTTAGTTCCTGACTGCACCCCCAATCCCAGGACTCTCCGGCTGACACTGCAGTCCGAAAACCCACTTAAATGATTAAGCCGGTTTCCTTATAGTTTGGCAACCAATCAGTGTTCTCCTTATGTTCTCTTTCTTTATATGGAATATCTATAGCAGTGTAGGAATGCGAAAGTACAAGATGGTATAAAACTGCCCGCCATGTGACAATGGGGGTCAGCCTTTGGAATCCACTGAGCTGGGGCTGACATCAATAAACGCTGATTCCTGCTTATAGTCTTGGTGTCCCGTCTCCCCATTCGAGAATCTTACAACAATGATGGCCAAGTAATTCTAGGCTGTCTCCAGAAAGGTTTTGCTTCCTTTGCAAATGTCTTTAGCTTCTGGAACTATAGATCTTGAATATAAAAGAAGCAGGTATGCTGGAAGGTGGAATGCTCAAGTTTTTGGATATAAGTGATCCAATTTCTTAATATTCATATGCAGTCTATTGGATGCAATCCAGCTGAAATTGGACCCAATTCGATCCTGGATCCAGTCTGGTTCTTAAGTTGGACCCAGTCCAACTCTGCTGGTAACCAACAAATATCATGGAACTTTGGATTGGGGAGAGGATTGAATGAGCACAACCCAGGAAATAGTGATCATCAACTGATTTTAAACAAAATGGAGAACTGTGGCTGTTACTGGTCCAAGGTCTATGTTCCTGATGCGTCCACCAAAAGTCAAACCTTCTGAGGTTGCAGTTAGGAAAAGTTTATTGATCTAGAAGGCACCAACCAAGAAGATGAGAGACTTAATTGTTCCTCAAATCTATCTTACCAAAGTATTGGGTTCAGGCTTCTTTTGTGTCTAGGCAAGAGGAAATGGGAATAGCTGTTTTGTAAAAGTCAAGCAGCAATCTTATCTAATGATTAGCATGGCTATGTGAAACTTAAGCAGAAGCTATTAGCCTGAAGGCCATGAGAACAAAGCAACTTGAACGAGATGGAGTCAGAGAGATCTAACATTTCAGTCTGTTACAGCCCCCCACTCTTTTTTTGTTGTTTGTTCCTCAATCTTGAGGGAAATAGAGCAACTTGGTCCAGGTTCAATTAATAGGGAGGTTTAGCTTTTAAGATGGAGTCAGATTTGTGTGACCCTCTTATCCAGCTCTTACAATCTCACATGCCCTCCTCTTCCATGATGGTTTCTGAGCCTTAAAGGGGGCATTCCAGTGTTCAATTTAGACAAAGAATAAAAAGCAACTTTCATAATTATGTCCCCTGGTACGCAAATCATGATGAACTGGCCACAGCACAAACACTTCCTTGTTCAGCTAACGAATTATCTAAAGCAATCCAATTATTGTCTAAGAACCCAAGTGCCAAGGACCCTAAGATGGTGTGTTGAGTCTTAGAGCTTCAGCAGCAAAATGGGCCAAATGGCTGAGATGACTATATGGGTTAAATTTTATAACATTTAGTTAATATCAGGTGCTCAGGTAGACTTTCTGTGTGGCTTACACAGCATCAGTCACAGAGATTGTTTAAGCACGAGCTGTTATTACGATGTCTCTGAAATTTATATCATGTAAAACAAAACAAAACTCAAAAGACAATGGACAGGAGTGATGTCAGAAGCATTGCGGAGTGAGAGATGTCCCAGATCTCTCCCCTTGCAATAACAATAAGCTGAACATTTAAAACTCAACAATTAACACCCAGCCTGCACACAAGCACATCTGAGCAAGTGATCTGTGCATGAGTTTCCAGAGGTCGGAACTGCAGGAATCCGAGAGGAACAAAGAAGCTGCCTTTCACTGTGGAGATCTCCCTGCAGGTGGTGGAGGAGGAGTGAAGTTGCTACTAGTTCCCTGAACGGCCCTGACAGGGATATGTGAGCTCCACACAGTGGAGCCCAGGGATCCGGGCAGAAGGCAGTACAAAGACTAACTTCAGGGCGGCAACAGATGGTTCTTAGCAGTGCGGTTGAGAAATGCTAGGCTGAGACACAGAGATAGCAGTAAACCCCACCCACCAACCCAGACAGCACCTCTGCCTCCATATCCTCCAAGACGGAACACCGTGGAGGCCCAGGGGAATTTGAGCAAATGCTACCAAAACTGTCGCTAACACTAGCAGGGACTGAGACTGAGGGTAGCAGTCATGATTGAATATTTATTAAAAAAAAAAAAAGAGGCATTATTAAGTCTCAAAGCAGGGATCCAAGAGGCTTGGATACTACCTATTGAAAATCAAAAGTAAACCATCTTCTAAGCAACAGGCTAAAGAGAGACCTCTATATAATAAATCTTTCTGAAAAAAAGAAAAGAAAAGCAGAATACACTCTCATCAATGCCGAGGCAGAGAAATAGCCCATCAGCACCATGAACAACCAATGTGACAAGGCAACTCAGAAAAGAGAAAAATCTCCAGAAAAATAAGCTTAAAGACATAGAGATATGTGACTTAAATGACAGAGAACTCAGGATTGTACTTCTGAAAAAAATCAATGAGATCCAAAATAATTCATATGAACAATTTCAGGAATTGAAAAAGCAACTAGATGAGCAGAATGAGTTTTTTAGCAAGGAGATTGAAACCCTATAAGAAGAACCAAATAGAACTTCTAAAGATGAAGAACACACTAAAAGAGATGAAGAAATAGCAAGCTTAGGAAATAGAACTAACCAAATAGAGGAAAGGATCGATGATATCAAAGACAGAAATCTAGAAATAATACAGAAGGAAGAAGAGAGAGACTGAAGAATGGAAAATAATGAAAGGGAAATACAAGAACTAGCTGTTACCATTAAGAAAGGAAACATAAGAATAATGGGCATTCTCGAAGGGAAGGAATAGGAGCAGGGATTAGAAAGGATTTTTAGAGAAATATTTGAAGAGAATTCCCCAAGTCTAAGAAATGAGCTGGAGCTTTGTATCCAAGAAGCTAACAGAACACTCAATTATCTCAACCCGAAAAGACCTCTAAGACCTATTACATTAAAATTATCAAAAATTAATGACAAAAAAAGGAATTTCAAGGCAGCCAGGGAAAAGAAGATGGTAACCTATAAAGGAAAATCCATTAGACTATCTTTAGACTTCTCAGCACAAACTGTACAAGTAAGAAAGAAGTGGAACCAAATATTTAAACTACTAAATGAAAGGAACTACCAGCCAAGAATAATGTATCCAACAAAGCTCTCCTTTAGATATAAAAGAGAAATAAAGAGGCCTGTATTACAGGAAATACTGAAAAGGGTCAACCCACCTGAAACAAAATGACAAAAAAAATATGTAACTGTGAGTCAGACAACTAGCAGACAGACAGAAGCAGAGTAGTGCAACAGGGTATTATAAGCTTACGCAATAAGAAGAGAATTGCTGTCACAAGATAGAAATGAACATTCAGCATACATAAGGACAATTTGGGACAAAATAACAGAAAAGGAGAAGAATCAAAGATTCAAATTCACAAAAGAGAATGTAAATAAGGAACATGCAGAAAAAAATGGACTACTTTGTATATATATATGTACATATATAATCATCCTCTTCATATTCTTAATGGTAACCACATGCCAAATTCCAGAGGTATGTAACATAAAACAAGAGGGACTAGAGGGAAAATCCACAACCCAAGCAAATTAAAAAAACAGACAGAAACTAAAGGACAAGGAAACAGTGGAAACACCGAGCTACAAGAAAGCAAAAGATAAAATGGCTATAAGAAGATCTCACATTTCAATAATACCCAAAATATAAGTGGACTGAACCCACAAATTAAAAGGCACAGAGTTACAGACTGGATCAAAAAACAAAACCCAACCATATGCTGCCTCCAGGAGACACATCTCGGTTCCAAAGACAAACACAGACTTAAAGTGAAAGGGCGGAAAAAGATATTCCAAGCAAATGGCATTCAGAGTAAAGCAGGAATAGCAGTACTAATATAGGATGAAATAGACTTCAAAATAAAAAGTAAAGAAAGAGACTGAGGGACACTTTGTAAGGATAAAGGAAATCATACACCAAGACGATATAACACTTATTAATAGCTATGCTCCCAATCAGAGAGCGTAAAATATATAGGCAATTACTAACAAAACTAAAAGGAGAAACAGAAAAAAGCACTATCACAGTAGGGGATCTAAATACCACATTGTCATATATGGACAGATCATCCAAACAGAAAATCAATAAGGATGACACATGAGACCAACTGGACATAATTGACATTTACAGAGCCTTTCATCCTCAAACAGCTACTCCTACATTCCTCTCTAGTGCACATGGAACATTTTTAAGGAATGACCACATACTAGGACACAGAGATAGCCTCAACAAATATAAGAGGATTGAAACCATAGCAAACATATTCTCTGATCATAATGCTTTGAAGCTAGAAGTCAACTGTAAAAAGAAAGCAGAAAGAACCACAAATACATGGAGATTAAACAACATTCTACTGAAAAATAACTGGGTCAGAGAAGAAATAAAACAGATATCAAGAGATACGCAGAAATGAATGATAATGATAGTACAACATATCAAAACTTTTGGACATGGCAAAAGTGGTCATAAGAGGAAAGTTCATATCATTACAGGCCTACCTCCAAAAACAAGAATGAGCTCAAATAAATAACCTAGTGCTTCATCTTCAAAATCTAGAAAAGGAAGAACAAATGAAGCCTAAAGTCAGCAGAAGGAAAGAAATAATCAAAATTAGAGCAGAATTAAATGAAATTGAAAAAAAAAACAATAGAAAAAATAAATGCAATA